GCAACCCAGGTAACTCATCCGGAATTACAACAGGAAAATGTCTAACCAACTTTTACATTTTCCACACCACTCAGTGTAACATCATTTAGCACTATATGAGCTAAGTATCTTTGGCAGCTTTTCGATAATAATCTCTTGCTCTTACAACAGAATAATGGCATACCTCATTTCACTTTGCTCACCCACAAAAGTAATCTCTGGTGAGTCAGGACGATGGAAAGTAATTGATTTCCCGTAGCACTTTATATTGGCATGATCATAATACAGCCAATATGTGCCTAGAATAGCATCGAAATCCACCATATCTAAAGGGATAAGATTCACTGGCATAACTATATCTTCCACCATCACCAGACACCCTGAAAGCACAATACTATCATATAATGACTTACCTGCTTACTTATTTAACGAATCCAACGAATAAGTCATTAATATTACGGTCTGCAGCCCGCAATACTGATAACTCACTGTTGTCTCGATAAGTAAGTAACAATTCATGAGGGTGCAATATTATCATCTTGTTCTTCATTGGGAAATACATATGCAGCTACGCTCGTGCTCATTCACTACTTCCTTTGGTAACATCGTCCATAACCTAAGATTTCTGCATCACAACCAATGAACTCTAGCAAAGTGACCAAAATGATTAACGTATCCATAATCAAGTCCGAATGATTCTGAGCATCTTGTAGTGACATGTGATTAACACGTCCTTAGTTTGTTGTCGTCCCTTACAACCTCTATTAGCTTGATTACTTCACCCATGCACATCACAGCTTAACTGACCATAACTACTAGATCCAGGAACCTGCTAGATCAACACTAGTGATGGCAAAGAAGACTATTGGGCATCTACTGATTCTAGGGACAATTTGCAGTTCTATGTCCCATTGTTCACATGTAAAACATCCACTGCTTCTTCGTCTACACTCTCCAAAATGTCTATTATTTTACCTAAGGCACAAAGTACATTTCCTTTACCAATATATCCCTGCTTCGGGGATCTGGGACCTCCAGTGAATCTACCACCTCTTCTCAGACCAGTAGCACTAAAACTCCCACTAGAAGAACTAGAATTAGCTCCACTTCTTTTGAAGCTCTGAGTTTTACGAAGTCCTTGAGATGACTGACCTTAACTTTTATCATTTTTCCTCTGATTCCCATTCTTTTCCTCTTCTTCATCACTATTGCTGAACATATTCTCAGAGTCTTCAACAAAATCTCGTAAAACTCCGGGTAATAAACACAATGGGTAGTGGTCACCAAAGAACGCCACTTCTTTTTATTACTCAGCTTAAAATGACGTATCATCTCAACCGGATTAACAGCAACATCTGAATGGTAACAAGACAAGTCAATAAACCTTCTATAGTGCTCGCTCGTTGACATCTTTCCTTGTCTCAAATTTGTAAACTCTTGCTTCTTACCATTCATATATGCCAGAGGAATAAATCTTTTCTTAAACAATTCCTTAAACAACTCTCAATCAACAATTTCCTCTGGCGTCAATTGAAAAGCCTCCTATCTCCACCAGGATGCAGATTCAATACTCAGAAACCAAGTAGTTGCCTCGATCCACCTTTCCCAAAAGAAGATTCACTAGACTTTGCATAACGCAAAACGTCTTTTCCAAATGATTAAGCCATCGCTCTGCTCCCTCAAGTCCTTCATTTTCCATAAAGTAATTCAGCTTCAGCTTATAACAAGTCTCAAGAGGATTCCTTAATAATAGCTTCCCATAACTAAGCTATATCAGAAACTAGGCTCACTGAATGACGTGGCTCTCTACAAGGCGGTATAGTTCTGACACAAGACACTAGTAAAGTCTAAAGATATACAGGACTGCAACCTAGGCTCTGATATCAAACTGACACACCCCGACCAGAGTCGAGACGTGCTAGCCGTCACGTGAGAGTGACGTAGCCATGAGCGCAAAGTGGAAGCGATAAAGAGTAAGAGAAACACTAACAATTTAAAACCAAGTGATTAACAATCCCGGTTAAGAAAGGGTACAAGTTGCAGTCAAGTAGGACAATTACTAAGATACAACACCAGAGGGTGAATCCTACATTTTCGGGGTCTGTCAGAACACCATTGAATTCCTAGTGGCCACCAAACTCTGCTAACTAGAACCTGGAGAGGCGAAAAACAAAGTTGAGTGGGTCAGTAAAACACATTTACATGAAAACCTTATTTTCCCTTAAATATACTAACCCTTCGCCGTAAAACAAGTATAATTTTTCCCATAATTAATATATAAGAATATACATAAATATATATGTGTAATTATATCACTCCATTCATTCTTCACATAATCATAAACATATGTATGCCATGCCAAAATATAACAAAGTAAACAATCCAGGTAAGAATGATTTCATAAAAATATGATATGTTAGCCGGAACCCCTGTGGTAGTCTGTACGGCTGAATTCATAGCTCAAAAGTCAATATAGCCGGAGTCACTACAATGATCTATACGGCAATATAGCACACAAGTCGGAACCACTAAAAAGGGGTTTGTACAACAATAATTGGTGTAATATAATTATGCTCAATACTCCTCTCACATAATAGTCGGGCGATAAATCGCTAGTCAACTACGAGTCGGAATCATAAATAAGGTCTGTACGGAAAGATTGTGCACCTAAATTGGATCCAATGTGAGCATATGGTGCGGGAGGTGACATAATAAACAGGCCTGTATCATATCTCTGGCTAAATCACAATCACTCTAGGTGCAGTTTTATGAGCTCAACATTTTTCAATCACATATCACATATCACATCATTGACAATTCACATAATCAAAACATATCTCACCTGAGCTTACTTGGGCCTCCACAACATCATGCGACAATATGCATAATTATGATAATGCATATACTAAAATAAAATATAGGCATTGGCATAGCATGGCATTTAAATCACATTTCCTTTAAATACGTTTTCTGGGAAAAACGTCAAGTGTGTGTATATATATACTGAAAATAACTGCCCACTCACAGATATGTCGATGGGTCGTAGCCCCCTAGCCTCGATTGATTACGCACGTCCTGAGAATAGGTCTCACCTATAGGCGTAATAACCGAATAAACGTTATGTAACGCACATAATCAACAATAGTTAATAACTTCTCATATATTGCTCAATTTGGGTATATGAATATACCATAGTGACCTACACAACCTCAGGATCATCCCCAAATTTTTAGAATATTTTTCCTAGCTCCCATACGCCGTCACGCGCCAGGCAAGGCATGGCCAAACGCGCCCCCCACGCGCAGCCATGTGCCAAGCACACTGATGGTGTCAACTGACGCCGTCAGGTATATTCCGGAATATTCCGTTTATTCCTTAACAAAACTTAACGGCTTGAACTAATGCCGTTAGAATATTCCGTTAAACTTAACGGAATATCCTCTCGTTTTCTACCTTCAGCTCCGGCGACAGTCGTCGTCGTCGGAAAACTAGGTAATTTGCAAAACTCTATAACTCACTCGTTTTTCATCCATTTTCTACGAAATTACCACCAAAATGAAGCTTGGGACATAAGGAAGAGAAATATACCACTTTAAAGCCCCAAAGTCGACTGAATCACACTGGAGAAATTCCACAAAAATTGGCCAACCCTTAAACTTGTGATCTCGACGTCCAAAACACTCCAACGATACACACAGAGCTTCATGACAACCTTCTAAAGCTCCCTATGAGCTTGAAATCCCCTAAAAACCTCACAATAATTAGTGTATGAACAGTACCTCATTCGGGGTTAAGGTTTTCACGTGATTTCGAAGTATTTCTTACCTGAAAATGATATAGATGAACTCAAGAGGTTACAAGGATTCCAAATCTCCCCTTTTTACCTTCGATCCGTGCTTGAAAGTTTGGTTTCTAGATCGTCTGTACGTTTTATACGGAAAAGAAACAGAAAATCGAGAGGGATGAGAAAGAGAGAAGACACAAGGAAGAGAGAGAGCTGATGTGTGTGTGTGTGGTCCTAAAGTCACTAACCAAAACTAAGAAAATCTTAGTTCTAATTAGGTCACCAATCCCAAATAATTAAACCAATACATATCACACACACATTATTCAACGTCCAAGGGTATTTCTGTCTTTTCATAATTTCAAAAATAACTTCCCAGGACGAGTTGTGACACCTCCCCACCAGCACCTAGCGTCTTTTATAACCTTGATTCTGCTAGACAAGCCGATAATGGGGGTTGATACTTAGGCGGTGGGAGGTGATACTTGGGTTAATTCCTAGCATGTCCACGTACGACCAGATGAATACACTAGAGTAGGCTCTCGAGAAAGCTACAACTCTTCCCGAACTTTTTCCTTCAACTTGGTACCAATTTTTACAGCCCTCGTCGAGTGTTCCTCCAATAGGATAACAATTTCCAACTTTTTGATAAGTTCAGGATGTTCCCGTCTTTCATCGTCTCTAGAGTCGGGGGCCGTTGATCGACAAAGTAGAAACACGCGACCAAGTTGTATGCGTATTCCCAAAAATAATGCCAAACTGTTAATGCTAAAAAATGGTGAATCTAATAAAGATTGAATGGATCAAGTGTTGATTTTTAATGGACTTGGGCTTTGCAACTAATGAAAATGAATGCAAGGCCTAAGTGGTTCTGTCACATCCTGGCCCGGGCCCCCATCACATCCCGGGCTTGACTCCACCGTAGCACGATATTGTCCGCTTTGGGCCCCGACCACGCCCTCACAGTTTTGTTTCTCGGAACTCACATGAGCATAACTTCCCAGTGGGTCACCCATCTTGGGAATGCTCTGGCCCCTTTCTCGTTTAACTTTGAAGTTCTTACAAAACCCGAAGCCAGTGAGCTCCCAAAAGGCCTCGTGCTAGGTAGAGATGAGAATATACACATAAGGCTTATAGGATCCACTCCCCTAGGGCGATGTGGGATGTCACAATCCACCCCCTTAGGGGCCCGACGTCCTCATCGACACACTTCCGGCTAGGGATTAGCTCTGATACCAAATTGTCAGACAACCGTGTGACCACCCCAGTCGGTTGTTACAACGGTTGAGAACGATCATCTACTGCTTAAATGATCCAAGGATCACAAAGCTGTTAATCACGCTTTAATTGCACGGTCATGGTTCATCCACCAGACTGGGGTTCCTGTCTCCTTAGAAATCAAGGATACAAAGGTATAACCTATAGAACAGATCCTGTTCAAGTAAGGTCGTACGGTGGAGTCAAGCCCGGGCCCCCACAAATTGTCACATCCCAGCCCGGGCCCCCACCACATTACAGGCTCGACTTCGTCGTAATACGATATTGTCCGCTTTGGGCCCCGACCACGCCCTCACAGTTCTGTTTCTGAGAACTCACAAGCAACTTCCCAGTGGATCACCCATCATGGGAATGCTCTAGCCTCTTTCTCGCTTAACTTCGGAGTTCCTATAGAATCCAAAACCAGTGAGCTCCCAAAAATCCTCGTGCTAGGTAGAGATGAGAATATACATATAAGGCTTACAGGATCCACTCCCCTGGGCGATGTAGGATGTCACAATCCACCCTACTTAGGGGCCCGACGGTCCTCGTTAGCACACTTTCGACCAGAGATTGGCTTTGATACCAAATTGTCACATCCCGACCCAAGCCCTCATCACATCCCGAGCTCGACTCCATCGTAGCATGATATTGTCCGCTTCCACGCCCTTACGGTTTTGTTTCTGAGAACTCACGAGCAACTTCCCAGTGGGTCACCCATCCTGGGAATGCTCTAGCCCCTTTCTCGCTTAACTTTGGAGTTCCTACAGAATCCGAAGCCAGTGACCTCCCAAAAGGCCTCGTGCTAGATAGAGATGAGATATACATATAAGGCTTACATGATCCATTCTCCTGAGCGATGTGGGATATCACAGGTTCGCCCTCAAAATTGGGTTATATCCACTGAGTTTCCTTTTATTTATGATAAATTATATTCCAAGTGGTTGTCGGCTAGAACAATATGTTTCTCCCTCAATTCGTCCGACCCTTTTCTAAAGGATTCTTGGCCTTCTTATATAGGCAATTTCTTGAGTCCATTTTCCCTATAACCTTGTCACTTTCTAGTCTTTCCTTGCATTTAATGCTCATAATGTACTAACTTTGTCACGCCCCGACCCACGAATAAAGACTATTCACAAGTTAGGGTGTGAGCCATATCTTAGCTATAGAAATAAATTCTACAACCAAGATATGGTGGAAAATAAAATTAAAATTATTTGGAACTGATTACACAATACATCATGTAACAAAATCTTACATAAAATTTATCAAATACGCAACGAAATAACTATGGTGCACAAATTAATTCACAACAAGAACTACCAATTAAATAATAATTAAATTGTAACAATTCTTTCAAATACATGAAATATACGCAAATAGATGGATTAATGTACTCACTCCCTTCTAACCCAGCTAACACACACCTAAGGCATCAAAGTCTGCAAGTCCCATATCATGCTTATACCACTTGGCTCCAAATATCTTAGAATATGAGTTAACTCCCGTTCGTCCCTTAAACCCAATTTTTGTAATTAAATTCTCAGTTTCCACTTTATTATACAGGCACTTCCCCCGATGCCCAATTGTATATTCAAGCTCTTCCCCCAGTGCCTGACATATACAAGATTTCATTATTTTATAATCAACCAATTTGTATACTCAAGCCCTTCACCCGACGCCTGACATAGACAAAGCTCATTATTTTATATTCAAGACAAACTTCAGCCATTGAATATCCTCACAACTTAAACACAATTTAACTATTTTTCTTACTTTACAAGAATGCTTATGTATATGCCATGTAACAAGGATATCAATAATCACATGCTCTATAACATCTACAACACTAATCAAACTGTTAGTAGCCAAAATTGTATTATATCTACAACACTAATCAAATTGTTAGTGCCCAAAATCGTATTATATTATCAATAATATATGGTATGGATAACACACAACAATCTAATTGAGAATTATTACTTTACCATTTTACTCCATCTCTCTCTAGGTGATGTTGATGCATAAACTCATTTAAGTTCCATAGAGCAATTCTGTTAGGTAAGTTCTCATGCATTTTATGGGATTTGTCCCCCTTATTTTATAGCATTCTCAAGGGAAGCAAATGGATATTTTTGATGGTTTGGTGCGAGTGCTCTCATAACAATGATCTCAAAATGTAAATGCATAAACAACACAAGATTTAAGTGGTTCGCCAAATCAACTACATCCACTGGGGTTTTCTTTCATTGTATTTCACTATATTTGAGGGACTTACAAAATGAAAGATGGCTTAAAGCCTTTACATAATGTAAAGTAAATGGGAAAATGAGAAAAGTGATATGGGAAGGAGATGAGGTTTTTTTATTCTTATTTCCCCGTGTGTTGTTGTTGGTGGTGAGGTGGTGTTTCCCTTAGCTCTTCTCTTTTATTTATAGAGAATGAATCATATCAAGGCTACTTATGGATGTTAAAGATCTTCAAACATGTCTACACTTGCATTTCAAATCCACCCGTTCTCACCTCATTGGAAGATTTGGAACAAAATTGAATAGAGAATATTGTAACCAAATGATTAAGATTCCTCTTAGCCTTGTGAATCAACACTCTAAAACCACAAAAATTGCCAACTCATGCACTTAGGCACACGTACATAGTCTATGACCCTATATAGACTCACACCTCTCCAAGTTTGGGGGATGAATTATCAACAATCATTAACTCTTACATTCTTAATGATTATAAACTTGCCAATTCACCATTAAATAGTCTTCCACCTCGTATTCTAGGGTGGGGAATGATACCTACTCTTTACTCTCTAATGATTGTCAAAATAACACCTTACCTTCATGAGAAAAATCAAGCCAAACTCATCATAATCCCCTTCTCCAATTCAAACTAAAAATATCTCTAATTACATATGAACATGAAATAAATACTAGCTAGTTTTTTGAACTAATTTTGTAGCAAAAAGGGTTTTACATTGAGACTATTTACATATTGAAAGTAGGTTCTTGCATAAAAGAAATCTAATAAAATCATTACGTAAAAATAATTACCCACATACACACACACACACACACATATATATATATAACTTTTTTTTTAATACGGGGTATTACAAACTTGGCCTACGAGTTGTCCTCCTCTTCTTTGGCCGACACATGGCAGCAAAATGGCTTCTGCATAGATCCACTTGCATCCCGTTTTGGAACGAGGTGAGGGAGCACCTTGCTCGGCCCAATAGTTAGTGGGAGTCCGTACATGAAAGTCAAACTTGTCAACCTTTATGTCCTTTCATAGGCTTTCTGTCTTTTGTTTAACTATCATTTGGCTCAAAGTAAACATTTAAGTAGGTTTGTCTCCTCTGCCCCTGGGTCTTATGCCTAAAAGTTGTCAGAGGCGACTTCACCCCTCAATGCTCGGAAAGGGCTTCCTGGAGGAACTCAGAGGCCTGAGCCTTTCGAAGCGCTTGGCCTCACTTTTCCCATGTTCTCTAGGCCTTGACTTTCCTTTGAGCCCGTGTTCCTTTGGCCTTATCGGGGTTGAAAAGAATCTTGCGTTATCAACCAATAAGATGAAAACTAAAAACAATTGTAATAATATTTTAATCGATAATGTAACTATAGGGCTTAAATGTTAATAAAATAAATATTTGAAACATCTATTGGAAAAAAAGAAGATTTACCATTTATATTCAATTGGCCACAAACTGCTCTAAAATTTGAATTATGTCACATAATAAACATAATAAATTAGTATTGAAATTATCATCAACAAAAATCAATTCAAAAACATCTTGTTTATAAAAGAAATATCGTTATCAAAATTACTAAATATTGACTTTTCCAGCGAGACAAACATTTTTATTATAACGACACCATGGTGAGTCTCGTGACAACTGCAAGAAACTACCCAAGATAATTGAATTATATTTAGTCGTTGTAGAAAACACCATTTGCCAAGTCAACGTCATCAAATCGGCAAAATTGACTCGTGTCCAAGCCCAATTCAGCAAATCTCACTAACTAATCTTATATAACCCAGTTGACCAGTTGGGTCGGGGCCCATTTACCTGGCCAATTCGAACCCGCCCCAGACAAGGTCGGACTCCCAATCGAACTGAATTCATTCTTCCATTCAATTCCCCAACTTTGAACTCTCTCTGAACGTATAGAGAGACTCCGAGGGAGATTAGAGATGTTGGGTTCGGGCAAGAATTCGATATTGCCGGTGTCGGATCCTCCGAGTGACCAGGAGAGAGAGAGACTCATTGGAGCTGACGACGATGAGAAGTTCTTCAGAGGATCCGCCATGACCAGACGTGGAGCCTACGCTGCAATCTCTTACATGGCTTGCGCAGGTAAATTACACGTCGCTCTAATTTTTCGTTTGCTGCAATTTTGGAAACTTTTGATTCCCAGAAATTAAAGTTTCAAACTTTAAAGAAATTGAAATTATTAAAAATCTTGAAGAAAATTAAAAGCTTAAATGGGCTTGATTGTGTTGATATGAATTTGGGTTTTTTCATTCCTAGCGCGTATTCTGGTAGCTAAAAGCGTTTATGACTAAGTTTGGTAGAAAACCTTAGAAGTGTGACTCGTAGAAGCGTTTTCTGGAGAAGCACATGTCAGATGCTTCTTCAGGAAGCACTTGGATACTTTATAAAAAATTCAATGTGTTTATAAGAAAAAACACTTTTGGCAGAAGCGCTTACGAGTAGCTGTATCCGAAAAGTTGCGAAAGGGGTAATAGGAGACTCCAAGGGTTTTGCTACACATCAAAAGGAATTTTGGTGGTGGAAAGAGGGGTACAGGATAAAGGTCAAAGCTAAGAAGGAATGTTGTAAAGCCAGAAACAAGGATAGAACCGATGAAATCTGTGAAAATTATAAAATAGTGATGAAGGAGGCGAAAAAAGCAGTGAGAGAAGCAAAGCTAGTGGCTTTTGACAATACATATAAGCGTTTAGATACCAAAGAAGGAGAGTTGGAAATCTTTAAACTAGCTAGAGCAAGGGAAAGGAAGACAAGTGACTTGAACCAAATAAAGTGCATCAGAATTGAGAATTGGAAATGTTTCTAGCTACGAAGGATGCGGTTAAAGACAGATGGAGATCTTATTTTAATAATCTTTTCAATGAAGAACACGAGGGGAGTATTTCTTTAGAGGAGTTGAGTAACTTAGGTAGAAAT